ACTCGCTGGTAGTCAAGTTGTCTGGTTGCTGTTCATTGCTGTAGTTGTAGGATAGGCTGTAGAGTAGATAGGGCGCCTGGCGCCATTCACAAGAGAGAGCTACATTTGGGTTATGCTGTTCGTGTTGCCCTGATGGGCATGGACATTGACTCACGATTCTTCTGTATCATTCTCAAGGGGATGGTTACTCGGTTCCACGTGCTATCTGCTTTGGCTTTGAATACTTGGACTTCAGTGTGATTTTGCATTCTGGATTTCTGTGCCTCGTCCATACTCATGTTCCTTGCACATCCAAATCAAGGAGATTACATTTGCTGCTTATACTTCTATTACTCTATACTACTGAGTCTATAGCCCTTTTGTGACAGAACATGTTCAATAACAGATACAGATGGAAGTAACGCGGAAATGGCAGACCCTGAAACCCCAGCTATACCTCTTTCAGATGAACAGAGACATTGAGGGGGTCATTACCTCCTTCTGTGGAGAATGAGTGGGGGGGAGTTAGGGGAGGATTGGTAGCCAGAATAGAATGGAGCGGAGGCAGGGGGGAGGGACAACATCGAGAAATGGCAGAGCTTAGGGAGGTCTTCAACAACTGGACGGATATAGAACCTTCCTTCACCCTGTGTCCCCCATCGGACTTCCAGGACCCCTTCCCACCGCACCCGCTTGGCCTTGCTGAGATACTGAGCAGTAGACTGACTGAGTGTGTGTGTGTGTGCTTTAGTACCCCCAGCTCAGAACCAAGTCTTGCTTTCCTGTACCCTTAAGAGTTCTCAGTAAGAGAGAGAAAACAAGTCATGGAATCCAACAAGAAAAAGATGATGTGAGTTTTAGTATCATGGCGTCATCACCTCTCTCCTACCAGTCCTGATTCTACACCTTCAGGACTAAACTCAACCCTTCTACTCATACGCCACTCAAGTTGCCCTCTCCTGTACCCTTAAGAGTTCTCATTTGCTGGCTGCAGCGCTGCCCTCTCCCCGAACAGGGCTAAATCAGAACAGCGGAGAGATTTCTGCTAGGGAGGGAAAAAGTGGCCCCAAGGCAGAAAGACAAATGGCTACAGCCCACATATGAGGTGCTTCAAAGTGGTTTCCAAGGGACGATGGACCCGATTTCCAGCAGCTGCCGCTCCCACCAATAGATGGAGCAGCCTGATAGCCAATACCTCAATTATTTTTGTCACTTTGGAGGCTTCAAATCATTGTATTGGAGAGTATTTGAATTCTGAACCTGTAACCTGCTAATTAACAATTGTGTGTGCGTGTGTGTGTGTAGCATGTGTGTGTCACATGAGTTTCGCACGAGCACGACACGTCATACTCGTGCTACTCCGACCAAAAGCGTCGGCACACTGTGAGCAAAAAAGCAAGACGCGGGAGGCGATCTTTCAACGCGGCGGGGTAAAACCACTCGTGTGTCCATTTGTGGTGAGGGTACTTATTTGAAGGGCCGTAAAGTCGAAAGCAGCCAAATATGCGAAGGCAGTAAGACAAAATGAGGGGGGTGGGTGGCGCCTACTCTTTTTCAGACAGAACAGAACACACGCAATAACACCCCACAAACAAACGGAGGAAAGGGGGGAAGGCAAAGGACAGCACGGCGAAGGGCAGGGAACCAACACCATAGCATGACAAACCACAACACGACATATGAACTTAAGAGGCACGGGAGGAAGAACAAACAGCGAGGCAGCACATAGGGTGAAACGCATGGGGGAGGCACATGAACTTAGAGGCATGAGAGGAGGAACAAGCAGTGAGGCAGCACATAGGCTGAAACATATGGGGGAGGCGGGAGGGCATAAGTACAAGTATCGAAAAACAGCAAAGCGGCCAGAAGAATAGAAAACAGCAAAGGACAGGCTGGAGGGTAGAGGGGAGGAGGGTGGGCAAACAAACAGCACAAGGCAAGAAACAAAGACCGAAAAAAATAGGAAATAAAAAATAAAAACTAAAAACTGATGATGATAGATTGTTTCGTCGGAGTTGCACCGACTCATCAGGAGGCTGAACCCTCGACAATCTGTGGAGTCCCCGTATTGGATGGTTTGGGTCATGAACCCTTTGACCCATATTGAAGGCAGACTGTCCCCAAGCGGGACATAGCAGCGGGCAGCAAACCTGTGGAGCACCAGGCAACACAGTAGAGGCAGCGCAACCACTTATCACCAAAGACGACTGCAAGGAACGACAGGGCAAGCGGACGAGCAGCTCGGCAACCATGCGGTGAAGCGCAAGCCAACATCAGCAAGGCGACGACACTACAAAGCACGCAAGCAAGTAAAGGACGCGGAAGGTCAACAGGGCAAGCAGACGAGCAGCTCGGCCACCGTGCAGTGAAGCGCAAGGCACCACCAACAAGGCAACCAAACTACAAGGCATGCACACAAAGGACACTGAAGGCCGACAGAGCACACGGACAAGCAGCTCAACAACCATGCAGCGAAGCTCGAGGCACCGCCACAAGGCTACCAAACCACAAGGCACGCGAGCAAAAGACACGCCAGGCACGACCCGCGGGTAGTGGCAAGGCAGCAGAGCAGCGAGGACGACCTGCAAAGCAAGCGGCATGGGCAGCAAGACCGCGGCAGAGCGCAGACAAGACAGTCTACACATCCAACACGGAGCAAAACAGCACATGACCTACTCACATCACGATAGAACCCAGCAGACTGTTGGTTCCCACCACCCGCTGATCCAGGGGGACACTCCGACGACCATCTGTCATCACCTACAGGCAACACAGACATCCCGAACCGAGCGGCCCCCATAAGAGTGCAGTAGGCACTCCAAACAAGGAAACACCAACTGTTTGGCACTACTTAAGGGTGCTCAGTTGGGGATACAAAAAAATACATAGAAAAAGTCAAGGGGAGGACATACAACAGAAGAAAGACTGACAAACATAAAACTGATTGTGTGTGTGTGTGTGTGTGTGTGTGTGTGTGTGTGTGTGTGTGTGTGTGTGTGGAATCTCCACAAATGAGCTAGTTGGTATTTACTTGGTATCGATTGATTCCTCAAGCTGATGATCTTGTGTTTTCGTTCGTTCTGGCAGGGAAATGAAAACACTGTGACTCTCCTTTTGGGAAAGATAAGCCGGAATATGTACATTATGCAGTACCGGTACGCAACACTGCTCAGCCTCTAATGATGATGTGCATGGGGTTGCACCTGTGTGTCGATGCGTAGATGTCTCTTCACGCGTGTGAGAACTCCTTTCTTGCCTTTTTTTTCTAAGTGTTTTCTTTGTGTTGTCCACTCTGTGTGTTCTGGCCTTTTCCCATCTTTTCCTATTGCAACTCCAGCACCTTCGAGGTGTGCCTAACAGGCAGCACCTGTTTCTTAGGAGTGCCTGCAACACTATTAGGAGAACGGCCGTGTTCGAGCTGCCTGTGTCTCTAATATGTTCCCTGGTGGTTACAGACATTCATCTTGTGGATCCTTGGCTCTCGATGGTGGTGTGAACCTTCAGTCTCTAGATGTCTACTTTTGGTGTCAGTAGGTGATGATCTGCTTTGATCCATAATGTAATGTCTGGACTTTCTTGCCGGCACTGTCTCGCTGCCTAGCTGCCTAGCTGCCCCTATCCGTCTGTCTCGTCCTGCTGCGCTGCGCTGCCTGCTTGCCCGCTCACCTGGTGTTCCTACGTAATTGCTCACTCGCTCGATCGGATGCCCTGCCTCTGCTTTTGGGCTTGGTTGTCTTGCTGCCTGCCTGGCTGCTTGGCAGCCTGCTTGCTGAATTGTGTGTGCCTGGATTGTACCTGGCTTGGATTGCTGCTTTGTTGTTTGCCCGTGTGCCCTCCCGCCCACCGCCCACCCGCCCCGCTGTCCTCTGCTTTACTACTGCCTCCACTCGCAACAGGGTGTGAAGTAAACTAAGAATCCGAGTGGATAGCGACAGATTCTGCAGACTGTCAAAGGTTCAGCTGCTTGATGAGTCCGATGAAACAATCTGTTGCTATCAGCGCGTGAAGTGAGTTATGCTATCGAAGCCTAACATGTGTAGTCATTGTCAGTGATCGTGGACCGGTAGCAGCTTGGAGCACTTTGGGCGGGGGATATATTAAATTACACATGCCACACACATTCATCATTATCAGACGCACACAAAGGGTTGATGTGAGTAATGTTGACCCCACTTTTCTCTCTCAAGGGGGTATGGCTAACTATCTCTGGACGATGTGGTGAGAGTCCTTATCCATCGGCCAAATGCATCCTGGGCATACAGTCTGTCCAGGTTCAACCTCCTGACGAGTCGGTGAAAGTCCGACAAATCAGTCTACCACAGTTGTACTTCTTTTTCTGGAGTTGTGTATAGTGGACATGACAACACACACACACACACAAAAGAGTTCGACCCGCACCACTTACCAAATGTGCAAAATCAGAATGAATCTTTTGCTAGAGCATGGAAAGATACAATGCCAGAATTTTGTCTTTGGTGAATTTGGCCGGTGGTGCGGCAAGGCCCATAGTCATGCTTTTTTGTTGGAGTTGTGTATAGCAAACATGACAGCACACACACCCACTCATGAATTGTAGAATACAACAGATGATATAAGCACACACACACACACACACACACACACACACACACACACACACACACATGCCATGTGTCGTCCATGCTTCCAGGATGATGTCATAGAAAGTATGTGTCTCACACACACACACACACACACACACACACACACACACACACACACACACACACACACACACGCATGCCATGTGTCGTCAATGCTTCCAGGATGCTGTCATAGAAAGTATGTGTCTTTACTGCGTGGACTATCCCCAGTGCCATTACCCTCCACACCCTCTCCTAGCATGTCCCACATGCGGTGTGGGTCATACACCTACGGCAACCGCTGACGGATCTCCCTCTTTCTTGCCAGACGAACGACGGACACAGAAGTCCGAGGAGGAAAATAGACTTCTATATGAACCACCGGCAGAGCGATGTGCTCATAGTTTATCACCACCAGGGCAAGCTGTTGCAGACCAAATCCTGCATCAGCTGAATGCCCTTGATTTGGACCAATCCTCCCTGTCGTCGTCTGCCCATAGAGAAGGAATAAATACTGAGGAATCCCAAGGAAGATGACCCACCGGCCTTGTGCCGTGAGGATTATTAAGGGATAGTCCATGTGAGTATTTGCTTCGACACATACGACGACAGTCAGTACTGTACTCACGTACGGCACCCTGACATGTCATGTCCAATTTGTAGACGGGCTGGAATGGCAATGCCTCTATAATTGCGGCCGACGTGCCTGTGTTCCTAGCATGTAGGAGCCATGTATCCTGTGACATCTGTCTGCGCCGTGCCATTCGATGCAGCAACTGTGATTGCGAAAATTGGATGCGGTGCTTCCATAGCCCACACCCGAACCGGTCCTAGGGGTGGCCACTTGCCATAGCCCCTTTTTTTCAAAAAAATAACTGCATGGGTGACTGCTACACAGTTCCAAATTCGCCGGAAGGAATAACAGTGACAGAGCACTGCGGTTCTGGGCCGAGGGAGGGCAGTTCGAAACTGCAAAAAGTTCCAAAAATTTGGCAAAAAACAGATTCTGAACTGTTACAGCTTTGTGCACTTCTAGCCGTTGGAAGTTCGGAAGTGACCAAATCAGGCGGCCACTGTTTTTTTTTTTTTTTTTTTTTTTTTTCCCCGGCCCGCCACCTTTTTTTTTTTTTTTTTTTTTTTTTTTTTCCAGCGCCTGCAACTTTTTTTTTTTTGTTTCTTTTTTTTCCCACGCCTGTGACTTTTTATATATATTTTTTTCCGAGCCTGCAAGGCTGCAACTTTTTTATTTTTATTTTTTTTTCGCGCCTGCTTATGCCACGGCCGAGCTGTCTAGACCACACCCGTGGCTCGGCCATGGCCGAGATGTGTTGGCCAGGCCCATGGCTGGCGCACGCCCGAGATGTCTAGGCCACGCCCGAGATGTCTAGGCTACACGCCCGTGGCTGGGCCACGGCCGAGATGCCTAGGCCACACCCCTGGGGAAACGAGCCAACTTCAAGAATGGGAGGCCCTGCTACTGGTAACTGCTCCCAGGCCAGGCCACGGGAAAAAGAGCGGTACCACTACCGCCACCTCCGGTTTTGCCAATTATTGAACCGGTAGGCCGTCGAACGTGTGATTTACTGTTTTTTTTTTCTTGCAGGTTTTTAACCTGTCTTGGCCCAATCTTGCAGTGGACTGTTATTTCTGTGAATTCTGAACTGTGCAGCGGTCACAGGTACGGTTGTCTCCTTTTTTTTTTTTCTTTTTTTTTTTTTTTTTTTTTTTNTTTTTTTTTTTTTTTTTTTTTTTTTTTTTTTTTTTTTTTTTTTTTTTTTTTTTTTTTCCGTTAACCCTGTGCCATCCTAGAGTAGTAGTCTGTTTCAGCGGTGAATATTTAGAATTCTGCAAGCTCGTCATACACCTCTCCCCTGCTCTTTGCATGTCATACTCTATCCTGCCCTTCACATATTTCTTTCCTTCCCTTTGCCCCCACCTCCCCTGCCCCATACTCCTATAGAACTCCTATCCCTTTCCCTCCACCCTCCCCTCCACTCTCCCCTCTTGTGCTACTAACAAGTACATACTAATGAGCATCGTTAAGAGAACACAGACGATATGAAGATAAGAAATGAAATGAACGGAAGTATGACGACGATGAAGGACGGACACAAAGACTGTATAAACTGAAGATCTGAAATGAAATGAACAGGAGTATGAATCTCGGAAAAGAAATGCACAGGAGCATACCTTCCCGTTTACTCTGTGCCTCCTGAAATAACTTGCAAATGGGCCGTGAAGACACACGGGGATGTGGGCAGCTGCTGCTCAACCACAATCAACGTGGGCAGCCTTGTGCGTAAGCGGCACAGTAAAAGGGGAGCTGCAAGAACAATATGAAAGGGGTACCCAAGGATAACCAAAAAAGCTGTCTAATTATGAAATTGCCTTAATATGTTGGACTGTGACTGTCTCATATCAAATGCTCTCGATGTCTGACTGCTTCGATTCTGAATCTATTCATCTGGGTGGAATTGGGGCTGTTGTGGGGAAAATCTGTAACACACACCATTTAACTGTGGGCTGGTATTTAATGCACATTAGCAGCTACTATAGTGTATAGCAAGTGTGTAGCATGTCGCAGCCGATTCATTATGTGTTCTAGTGGGTTGGATCTTGTGTCAGCATGGAAGTGGGACGATGAGTGCAAGCTGACCATGTTCATGTCTGTCTCATGTCTGGTTGCCGCCACTACAGGTTTCCACTGAATGCGCAACAAGCGTTCTGCATCTGCCTGTCGTCAATCACCACCAAGCTATGCTGAAAAGATTGCGATTCTCCGATATTGGTCAATATTCAACCTAATCCCAATCAAAATCAATTTAATGATTTTTAATCAATCCATCGCGACAGATGGATGGATTATATTCCTAGACAATGTGTTGTTGCCTTATAGCATGGGGCTGCAGTCTGGACAGAAGTTCTCACAGGGGACAAACCTGGGACCATTGGGCACCTGTGGGCCGGCCTGGGCGTGGCCTCGCAGTGTTCTTCTGAGCACAGATGTGATAACCTGGGCAGATGTGGCACCTGCAGACCGGCCTGGGTGTAACCTCACGGTGGTCGTGTCTGACCAGGCAGGAATGTGGGGAGTCAAAATGGTGTGTAGATATTTATAGAGATCTCTAACGACAGGTCTCATCATTTCATGAATTCTTTCTCCAATTGCCAGGAGGCCAAGAACATACGCAGAAATTTCACAGAAATAGACATGTATGCAATCTTTATACTGCCTATCATGATAGCCAGCATAGCAAGTCGGTTTCGTATCACGGCCCTCAGTCTCTTGGGTCCTTTTCTCCCCTTCTCCCTACGCTAGCACGTTGCGCAAATGAACAGTTATAATGATATAATCACGATTTCGCCCCCGAGGTTGTCACGTGAGAAGTCAACGTATTGAGGAAAATAAAGAGTGTCATCTCCGAAGGCAAACCCTGGGTTATCTATATCTATCGCCCGGACCGAGGTCCCACTCGCAAAGAGAGAGGATGGGAATTATTGCCTGAATGTGGACGTGGTTGGGGAGAGAGGTCCAGAAGATGGAGGTTCGTCGGCTTTTCGACATCTTTGCAGAAGCGTTGAGAAAACACATCCAGATTCAGGCCCGTAATCCAATCTTCTTTGCGAGTGGGACTGCGCCCCTGGAAACAGACATCAGTGACGTAGGATTCAATGCCAAAGAATAGGTTGGCCAAAAGAGTTACTCCCGATCCAGGATTACACAGTCAGGTTTTCAGAAATTTCAGGATTAATTAATGTATTGGGGGTCCCTTTGGCCGGAACGAGGGGAGTGTGGGGTGTGAAACTCCGTAAAACTCGGACTTTTTGACTGGTCGGGGGAAAAGGAATTGGATCGATGCTCCCCAGAATAGAACGCAGCAAGGATGCAGAGCTTTTGCCAGTCAACAGAGAATCTGCTGGGAAAGAGTCGGCAATTGAAGCCTAGACGAAGACTTGGATATCCGTTGGAAGAAATAGAGGGACCTGTGTGGAGCATCATCTGGATACCGCAAGCTTGCAATAGTGAAGGCATACTCAAAACTAAGCCCTGAAAATCGCGAAACGGCAAAATCAGCGGCCGGATCAAGTCCTCGTAAAAGGAGTCGGCTATCTGGGCCAGGCCACTGATTTTGTGATATTGTGGTTTCGAGGGCCTGGTGTGAGTATTGGTGGAAGGAGTCGGCAATGCAAGCGTAGACAAAGACTTGGGAGATCCCCTAGACGAAATTCAGGGAGCGGTGCGGATCATCGTCTGGATACTAGAAGATTGTAGTGGTTGGCGGCATACGCTTCGCTCCCAGTGAATCAATGGCTATGTGAAAGAAGGAAACACTCCCCGGAATAGAATGGAGGGAGGACTCAGATCCTGGGCCGAGAATGCTGGGAACGGTCGGCAACTCAAGCCTAGACAAAGACTTGGATATCCCCTGGAAGAAATACAGGGAGCTGTGTGGATTCATCGTCTGGATACTAGATGCTTGCAATGCTTGACGGCATAGTACTAGGGCATACGCTTCGCTCCCAGTGAATCAATGGCTACGCGAAAGAAGGAAACGCTCGAGACCCCGGCAGCTATGATCTATGTCAAACGTGTTCTGGAAAACGAGGCCGAAGATTGTAATTCACGTGTTGCTTGATTACCTTCTCTGGAGGTGATTGGTGGCTTAGGGAAAATGAAGGCTACAAGCCCTGTGGTACTGACAGTCAGTTCCCATTAGAATGCCATCATACGACCCATCCCTCTGCTGCCCTCTATGGAGTGACATTCCTCCGCCGCCCCCCAAAACTGCCAAGACTGTGGTTTAGGGTATCATCAGGAAGGAGGCCATGGAGGTTTTCGGAGAGTCGGAGACTATATGTATGGGAGGGAAGTAACATATTCCACTCTCCCTCCCTGAGTCCCTCCTTTTTTTTTTCTTTTTAAGTTTTTTTCCTTTTTTTTTGTTAGAAATCCCTGTTTTCATCTCCCCCTTCCCCCCTTTTTGGGTCGTATCGTCCAAATGAGTTGATGTTCCAAGACTACTTGTCGGAGCAGGCTGGGCAACAGACGGACATCCTGAAAGCGGAGATAACTTGCAGATGGAAAGGGTTGTGGAAACTGGGAGTCAGAAGGGGCCCAGAAAAAGTCAGAAGGGGCCCGGATAAAAAGTCAGAAGGGGTCCGGATAAAAAGTCAGAAGGGGTCCGGATAAAAAAGTCAGAAGGGGCCCGGATTTAAAAAAAAAAAAAAAAAAAAAAAAAAAAAAAAAAAAAAAAAAAGATTCAGAAGGGGCCCGGATAAAAAGTCAGAAGGGGCCCGCGAAAAAGCAGCAGCACTTAAGGAACAGCGCTCAGCAAACTGGGAGTCACTCTTGGAACGGACGGAAAGCCACTCCAGCAACAACAAACTGCCTGAAATGGGCTAAATGGAATTCGGTATGGGGCGAGGGGAATAATAGAGCATCAACTTGAACTGCAGTGGAAGGTGTAATGGCTATTCTAGGAATTTAGTAGATGGGACAGAAAGAAAAACAAGAGAGGATGAAGAGGGAAGAGCCTGAGCAGCAGCCTGTAGGCGAGGTTCTCACGCTGCCAGCTTTGCACTCTGTTTGAGCAGGCCCAATGGTATACATATGCCTACTGTGTGTGTGTGTGTGTGTGAGAGAGAGAGAGAGAGAGAGAGAGAGAGAGAGAGAGAGAGAGAGAAATTCAAAAAGGAAAAGGGCTTACCTGGCAGTCAATCCTCCTTCAAAGGGAGCAATCAATGCTGTCCAGTGGATCCCCCGACCGTGACAGGGGGAGTTAGCGTACAGGTTGGTCTACTGTATTGGGACTTGCCAGTGGAAGAGGAACTGGACTGACACTGTCCAGAATAGAATGGAGGAGGGACCGCAACGAGCCGTTCTTTTTTCTTGTTAAGTTAAGAAAGGAAAACAGAACAGACAAAGATATGCGGCTATGCTGCATTCAGGTAATGAGGAGGAAGAAGTAGAGGAGGCGGAGGAGGAGGAGAGGGGCTGGAGGAGTAGCAGGAGGAGTGCGAGGGGTAGGAGGAGTAGGAGGAGTAGGAGGAGTAGGAGGATCTTGAAAACAAGGAGGAGAAAAAGGAGGGGGTGGAGCAGTGAGAAGGACGATGAGGCGGAGGACCCTGTGGAGGTGGTGGTCCCATGGCAGTAGACAAGTAGGCGGCATACATAAAGGAGGAATAAGAGATTTGTTATGTGTAGAAGGATGTCTATGTTGCGTACTTGTATAGCGACGGAAGAGGAGGGGTTAAAAAGGGATGGTTTTTCATTGGTTTGAAACAAAGCCAAAACTTCAACTGAAGACAGACTGTACACCAGTCATGTACATCATGACAGCCATTGTTAAAACACCTAGCCATCTCAGAAAGCTAGACGCAGAGGGTTTGGATTTGGGAAAAGATGTGTGTTTCACTGGAGCAATGTGTAGAATAGAAGCTAAAAAGAGCTCTCCAGCAGGTGAGAGTGCTCTCGATTTTGCAGACCCCGTCGTCCCCGCCAATGTCCAGGTGGGGGGCGCATAATAACAAGCAACAAATGTAATCGGTCGCCAATACTGTCCATAATACTCCATATCCATGCTCACGAGGTAGCCGCACCAGAGTGCTGGTGCATTCCCTTTTTTTTTTTTTTTTTTTTTGACAGGGAACAACTGCGGCAAGTGTGACCCCTTGCTGTTGTCAATATAAAGTTTTTTTTCTGTTGGGGTCGTAGTTCCAGTGTTAGAACTTAGAACTCATGTTGCCGTACATAGGTCCTTTGTGTACCTTCTGGAGGGGTTGGGATGTTATTTCAAATTTCTTTGGGGGACTCGAACAGTGGGAGGGTAAAGGCCTCCTGAAAGGTCTTGAAAACTGTCTTTGCTCTTCTCGCTCACCTCCTCTTCCTCCCCCTCCACCTCCTCCTCTGCAGCTTCCCTCTCTTCCTCATCGCGTCTTTTCTCTGCTCCTCCTCCTCCTCCTCCTCCTCCTCCTCCGCCGCCGCCGCCTCCTACTCCCCCTCCACCTCATTCTCCTCTTCCCTCTCCTCCTCCTCCTCCTCCTCCTTCTCCTTCTCCTTCTCCTCCTCCTCCTTTTCCTCTTCCTCCCCCTCTACCTCGTTCTCCTCATCTTCCCTCTCCTCCTCCTCCTCCTCCTCCTCCTTCTCCTCCTCCTCCTCCTCCTCCTTTTCCTCTTCCTCCCCCTCTACCTCGTTCTCCTCATCTTCCCTCTCCTCCTCCTCCTCCTCCTCCTCCTCCTAGACCAGTTGCTGAGCGAGTATGTGGGCGACCGCCAGGTTAGCTCCTGTCTCTTATACACATCTAGATGTGTATAAGAGACAGAGGCTGGACGTCTCCCTCTTCTTTTGGCTGGTGCTCCCAGCCATTTTGGTCTGGTAGGATTGTTCGTCCAAAGAACCCAGATTGTCACATTTTCGGATCTGGACTTTTCCTGGGAAAGGTAGTGGTGGTTTAAGACTGTAAACAGAGTCGTTGGGCCTCGCTCCACTACGCACGACATGCACAAAAGACAAAATAATAAATATGGTGGTGTACCTTACTATGATCTAGCAGAAGATTCATTCTCAGTTTGCACACCTGGTGAGTAGCGGAGTGAGGCCCATTATAATGGAGCATTGTGTTTGGTGCAGGGAGGTAGGCACTAAAACTACTCCTCCCCCTGACCGGGACCGGGATCTCCATTAGCAACATTGAAGTTTTTTTCAGTATTTATTCCCCTCAGAGTCTCTTCAAGTATGCTGTCTGCTTGCTCTCAGGCTGTAACTAGGAATCCCATCCATACATATTATGGAGTATTATGGACCTAGCTCAATTGGTACGCCTATGGACTCTTGAAATACAGACCCGAGTTCGATTCCGGATGTAATCAGATGACCTGAATAAATTTCAATAAAATAACTCTGAATTCCCTTGGGGCCGGTCAGTTCCAAGGATAATCTCTTGAACCACCAGTACTTGGCCCGGCTATCGATGCCGGGCCTCGGAGCAGCACCCTGCGAGCCGATTTTTCACGAACCGCCAGTGCGACCTTATGTTTTCTTTTTGGCTGGCGCCTCCAGCCGTTGTGGCCCCGTAGCCCGAAAAGCCCAAATGCCGTGGCGCGTTAACGGGTAAGCGCCACAGCCCGATGGCTGGGCCAAGTACTGATGGACCGGGTGGTGGTCCCCGGTAGCCCGAGCTTGTGAAAGTTTTAACTTTTGTTCCATTTGTTGACATAAGTCTGCTTGTATGGTTTTGCAATTTGGTGTATGGTGGGTGATCATATCATTTATAGTAATTTATACATGATTTTTCCATCGTTTGCATACTTTGAACGCAAAGCGGCAAACTATTCGTACGTAATTCATATTGATGTGGTTTCGAGAACTTTGACATAGACCTTCCTCCTTCGTGTCGCCATGAAGTTCTTACTTAAAAAAAAAAAAAAAAAAGAAGTTCTTACTATATCATCATCCCAAGCATGGATGTTTGGTGTGTAGTTGTTGAGGGGTGCAGCGCATGTATCAAAACGTGTTTGGCTTCTAATTAAATAACATTAGAATAGAATGTCGGTCGACCGTCGACCCGTCTAAGTAACTCGCTAGGTTGGATTCGAACCAACGACCCAATCGATAGGGCAAGTAGTGCGTGTAATCTGACTAAGCTTCCCTCCAAATTGTGCATGCAAGATTTTTTTCAAGCGCACGGCCTTCCATCAGTTTGGCAAGATTATGTCTCTTGTTTCCCTTCCATTTTTTTTTTATTTTTTTTATTTTTTTTAAGCCCTGTGTTTCATGTGCTATGGGTCCCAAATTTTACCAATTCCACCGAATATGCCTCCCCGACTCCTCTGGGGTGTTCATGTTGCAGAGCCGATGCTATCGCAATGGTTGTTCGATTATTAACTTATTATAAGATTATCTTAATTGCAATTGACACACTGCTCGACCCACACTCGAACTGTTGGCAAAAGAAAATGTCACTTTTGCTAGATGGGTTAAGGGCCTTAAGGCAAAAAAAGTAAATGTCATTATTTGGGGGAGCGCTTATTCTAGAATCTAGACAATGTTGTTTTCTCCAAAATTTGGTACCAGCAAGCACTTTGTGCCTTGCTTTAAGTCTATCGCCGTATCGAAGAAAGTTTAAGAAACTGTTGCCAACTGTTTGTGGAAAGAAAAAATTGGGGAAACAAATTTTTTGCCCAAAGTGGATTGGAGCAAAGAAATACAAAAGCGGAACATCTTTTTTAGAAGAAAGATTCAAGCAAATTAAAGGAGTTCAAAAAAAAAAAAAAAAGGAGTCCAAAAAAAAAAAAAAAGCGTCGCAAAATCAGGCTCTTTTGTTTACAAAAACCCCCCATAAATTCCTTTTTGGGAAGGGTAAAAAAAAAAAAAAAAAAAAAAAAATCCTCAACATTACCGGCACTGTGTATGTAAGCTGGAAACTTTGAACTCACTGCTAATCCTTTTTTTTTTTTTTTTTTTTTTTGGAAAGCCCTTGTACCATCTGTCTATCCCAGCGGTGGTACAAGAACCGCCAGAATTGAGGGCTTGTCTGTCGGGCTGCTCCATCTATTGGTGGGGAGCGGCACCTGCTGCAAACCGGGTCCAGCGTCCCATTGATACATCTTGTAACACACAACTTGCTGATTGTTGTTCCCTGGGGCTGTATTAGTTTCTGTGACCGTTCCGGGGCTCCGTTGTCCCTTGGAGCTGCTCATAACAACCCATAACTTGTTTTCCTGGCACTTTTCACAGACTTTTACTGCCACAAATATGTTTCATAACTTTCATTTGGAAGATGGTGGATATAATAGGAGCATGGAGACGTGCGAAGGACAGAAAGATAGAATTTTAACGCAGCCCCTGTTTGAAAACCCCTCTTATCCTCGATAGTATAATGGCTAGCCCTTCCCCCTGTCATCTGACATCAGTTTTGCCCGCTCTTCGACGAGTCGTCGAGTGGCTACTCTATCTCATCTTTGGGATCCACAGAGACAGCAGTAGAAAGCATCGTCAGACATTTAGGAATCCCTGCATGGACTCCACAGCTTGGACAGAATCTCCAGCTCTTTTCTTTTTTTTCTTTTTTCTTTTTTTTTTCTTTTTTTTCCCCTCCAGCTCTTATTAGCTGCTATCGCGGAGGACTGGAAGGACACTATACAACAAAAGAAAGTCTTACCAGGGGTATGGCTCAAAGACAGCGTTAAGATCAACACTGATAGAATATGGAAATTAGAAAAACACATTAATTGTGATCAATGGGAAATGACGTGTTGGGAAGTCACAGATGGATATGAACAATTGGGATCCCCGCTAAAGAGACTTTCTGCCGCCCTAATCCAGTTAGACCCTCAGGATCTCGAACCAGTCTTGTCTCCAAGTATTTCTTTTTCTTTTTTTTTTTTTTTTTTTTTTGAAGAAAGCAACCCGACTCGACACGACCCCAACCAGCCTTCTCCTCGATTTACAAGATTGGTACCGGCACAATCCAAGGAGGTGTCGCTCCCCACCAATAGACGGAGCAGCCCGACAGATAAGCCCTCAATTCTGACGGTTCTCTCACCACCGCCGGGACAGAGGGCTTACACAGGGGCTATTCATAAAAATAATAATAATAATAATAAAAAAAAAAAAAAAAGGAAGCAAGGTGAAATCCAATCGCTATTACAAAACACACCTCGGCCGGCATATTCTACGTTGCTGCCAAGTGTTGATGTGGAGTGGGGAATGAAGTGCAAATGACAAGCGCTGGTATATGTTCTTGAACTGACCAGGATTCCTCCGTAAGTTTCTGGAAGTTACTGTCCACTTTGACTGTGGCAAAATGCGCAGGCCTATTGTGGCTGGTAATTCACACTGTTGGTTCAGCTGCAGCTATGTCATAATACCACAAACTCAAAAAGGGAAATCTTTTCAGCACTGCTACTCCTTTTTTTTTTTTTTTTTTTTTTTTTTTTCCCTTTTCCAAACCCACTATCTCGGTGGCGGTAAGAGAGCCACCGGGATTGAAGGCTTGTTCCTTGGGCTGCTCCATCTATTGGTGGGGAGTGTCACCTGCTGGAAACCGGGTCCAGCGTCCCATGGAAACATAGTTGTAGTCTCTGGGGTCACGGTCACTCCTCAGGGGCTTGTGGTTGAGGATCAACAGCATATTTGGCTGACCTCTAGGTCCTCCATGCATGCCCAGACTGTCTGGACACATGTGGAAAGACTTTGGAATAACTCCTGCTACCTAGGGAGACCTTTGGACTGAAGTGGGTGCCTTGTTACGAGCTGTGGCAATTCATACCACTAAACCGCGTGCCTGTGTTTTTGAAATTCTTCGTGCAACTGTGCTGTGGAAACTTCGGCGACAGAGACATGAACTACATAGTGTGGGCGGAAAAGGTGCCCTCTACACCACAGGTCTTCCAGCACGTAAAGAGAAACCTCAGACATATCGTATTCTGTTATTCTTGGATTGGCAGAAAAGAGTCTGCAAATATCGGCGGCTTCACTGTTAGTGGGTGTATGCTGGTGGTTCGGAAAGCATTGGGCCTCATGCCCCAATTTCGTCTATATTGATGGGTGTACAGGCGGCATTTCTTTGGGCCCTTGCTTACATAGCAAGCAGAAGAACACAGATGATTTGTCTTTTCCTTTTTGCTTTTGCCTTTTGGCTACTCTTTCCTCGTACCGACCTCGGCAAGCCAAGTACTTCTTCAGTAGTTATAGCAGCTACAGTAGTTTTATTTTTGCTACCTTTATTTGCCGTAGTTCTGTCCGAAAGTTCTTAGTTGTTTCGTCTTTCTGGATCTTGGACTTTGACACAGGGGTGAGGCTCCACCTGGGGTGGAAGGTTGGAAGCCTATATGTTCTTGCCTTGGGCACTGGGCCCATGATAAAATTGTGACTTTTAAGAGAAACAAAAAGACGCCTACGAGTCTGTGACTTCTTTTGTTTTCTGGAAAAATGATTCAAAAATCCTCATTCCCCGCCCGGCGTCCCTTAGATTTAAGGGGGTGACCCATCATGACAGGCAAGGGAGTGCTGGCCAAGTTCAAGCCAGGGTCGCCAATCACGACGAGAAAAATGAAAAGCTCAACGCTGGCAATCCCCCTTTAACTGTGGGTTGGAGATGAGTGACGGGTACCCAGACCCACACCCACCTGCACCCACACGCCGCTCGGTCAGGTGTGGGTCTGCATCAGCCGGCCTGGGTTGGACATCGGTGGGTCTAGGTAAGCCAGCCTGGGTAGGTGATAGGCGGGTTTGTGTTTGGCCTGGGTCACCGAACCGGGTGGGTGACAGATTGGTGGGTGTTTGGCCTGGGTCACCTGACCGACAAGACCCAAGACAACCCACAAAGATATCCCCCCACCCCACCTTCCGCTCCCCTCCCCTCCCTGCCTCCCTCCCCTCCTCTCCCCTCCCAATTCCTCAGAGAAAAAAAGGATTATGCCTGGTTTAGTTGCCGGTCCCCTCTGGACTGGGAAAAAAAAAAATTGGTGGCAACCTCAAACATAAGCAGGGCTAATGGCCCCGGTATCTTTCCATTCTCCAATGTGAACTCACAAGGGACGCTGGGCCCGGTTTCCAGAAAGGGTTGCTTCCCACCCTAGAAAGAACAAGCCCGGGTCCAGCCTCCAATGGCGCATTTGGACTAACAACATGATCTCACCTCAACAGTGATTCTGAACAACGTGCGTTTAGGGCATCATGCCCTGCCGTGCACAGACGGCCTCAAACCGGCACCTTCCGCCACAGGAACGAAGTATCGTAACCACTAC